ATTAATGAATAGAAGCGAGTTTTTTGTTAGGGATAATTGAGTTGTTGGATGGAATAGCATAAGTTATACTTTCCACATTTTGAGAAACAAAAATATTCGTAAAAGTGGACCATTAACCTAACCTACTATTTTTAAACGAGAAGAAATTTCTGGCAAAAACTACCTTGAAAGAAATAAATAACATTTTAGAATTTTAGAATTTTTTAATAAAAAAATTAATCTATTTAACTATTAATTTTAATTTTTTATGATTTATTAATAATGATCAGTATTTTTCTTGCAATTTATTTATATTAAATTAGAAATCATTTTTAAAGAATTTTTTTTTATAAAAAACGAATGAAATGGGAAAGAAAAGCCAAGTTGAAAAAAAAATGTAGCAGTTTTCTTGTAAATTTATTCCTCGGATGGACGAAGGGTTTGGTGACTTGGCCACCGGGTACCAGAAGGCGGGAAGAGTCCAAGATTTATGATACCGGATGCGCAAATACGGTGAAACTTCCCCGTATCCGGAGTGGCGATAACTTTTGTCGGCGTACGCCTGGCGTCTTTTCTTTTTTTGTTCGATTTTGCAATCGTTAGGACACGAGGCATTTTTACATGAAGATATGTATAGAATACGATAAAGTTCCAGTGATGTTAACTTTTAAAATTTAACTAATTAATTATTATGCAAAGTGCAAGTTATGTGTGATACACACATTTAACTCTGATTTAAAATTAAATTAATTTGTATTCTTTGGACTCTTTTTAAATTGACTTTTATGTCTCTTAATTTTAATATGAAAAATATCTTATAAAAATATGTTATCAAAAAATTTTCTTCTAAATTATATAAGTATTTTTTCACATTAACTGTACATTTATTTCTTTTATTATTGTTTTATTTATGTCTAATTTAGAAATTATATTAAAATTGATCTTCGCAGTTTTCTGATAACGATATCGGCCACTCAAGCCTGTGTCCCAAATGACACTGAAAATTCGAGTTACACAAATTGTCAAAGTTCTTTCGGTCCGATGTGCGCGGGAGGATCCACGGGAGGAAATTTTAAGCGAACAGGGAGTCACGCTATCGGACCGAAGGTTAAATTAGATTTCGTACTTCCGGGACGTTGCAAGAACCTTAAAAGAGGAGGTAAGCGCGGGCAAACGTCCTCCTTTCCTGTACCTCTCGACAATCTCGTTCGTTTGTTTCTTATTTGTTCCCCGCGGTCCTGTAGTCGAAGAGGCTAACTTGTTTGTTTGAAGGCTTTGCTAGCTTTATGCAATATCTTCTCTACGACTTCGCAGATTTACGATTGTGACAGAGAAAACATAATCTTGCGTTGAAATCGAGGAAATATTACTACTTATATAAACCTTTAATACTTTTTTAACATTATGGATATAATTACTTATATCATCATTTTTATTGTACCATTTTTATTGTATTATACATTTATTGTACACTATTTTTTTATTGTATATTTAATATTTTTATTGTATTATTTCATATTTTGATTACGTTCAAGAAAACATTCTTTCATCTGAGCTTTTGTATTACAGAATTGTGTCAATTTTGTATTTTAATGTAAATTACCTTATTAGTATTTATGATTAATAAATTACAACTTTTACTTTTTTATGAAAATATGATGTATAAAATATAAACGTGTGACGATAAAAATACATGATGATGCCGTTGAAACGTGTAGTTTTGTACTTTTGATGAACAGATTTTAAAGCGTACTTCTCTAAAAATGGGGACTAGAGAGTTTAATACTCTTCAAACGTAGCTAGAGTGTCGATTTCATGCGATTCGTGCGACCAAGCTTTCGGGGACTTTGTTACGTGTCCGGAACGAAGAAAGGGTGCGTTCGCGAAGAAAATTTTAAGGACTCAATTCGCATTATACTCTCGACTCAGAGTAAAGGCAAAAGGTTACCGCAAAGGACCGTCCGAGTATAGTTACAATAACAATAGACGGCGTCATTGATAATAAAACAACTGCAAGTATATATATTGCAATAATATCTTGTTATTTTTTTTGTAACACATATAAACATCTCACGTACAATATTTCAAATAATAGTAACGATTTATAGATTCATTTTTATTGTAATATTATTATTAAAAATTGTATTTGATATCAACTGCACTCGATTATCTAATATTATATTGTTTACTCAATTTTGTATAATTATATGTATTATAATTAAATTAATTATAATACAATTACAACTAAATTATAAATTTATTACTAAACTTTTATATGTATTATCGCATTAAAATATAAATAACATTTTTAACAAGTAGTAGCAGAGACCGGGGTCAATAAACTATAGGGGTAAGTAGAATAATCGAGGCTACGTTACAAACAAATCGCGCGAGACACGAGTAAACCCGTCTGAGCACTCAGCAGCGACTGCTGCTCAGTCTGCTGTAACATCTCGTTGGTAACACATCTATGATAGAAGTTACGCTACAATTTAAAAAAATCGTATATCTAAGTAAACATTTTTATTCTTAAAGTTTTTGTTTTACAATCGTATATTATTGTCTAAGATATTTTATTTCCATTTAGATAGTAAGCGTAATTCTTACTTAATAAAGTCCAACAGATTTTTTTTGTTTATCTGTCTTTGTTATCGTATACTGTTAATGTTTTTAAAAAATGAACGGATGGGGCTAGTAGGCTAACCATAATACGGGGCTATATGACTAATTTAGTGACGACTCTGATAGTATCTACTCTCAAATTTCTTGGAATGAAATCTCACTCTAAAAGAGTGAAAATACAGTCAGTTTTGAAAAAGAGTGAAAATGTTTCACTTCTTGAAAAAGAGTGGCAATATTTCATTCCTTTAAAGAGATTTACCTGGTAAATGTTATAAGTTTAGTTCCCTCACGTCTAATTTCGATAAAACTAGGCTCATTCGACGTGTTTTTGCACGAAAAGAACGAACTTAGTAAAAAGAAGCATTATTCTGCCTTGTAAATCGTAAAAAATATTAATCGTTAAAGTTTGTTAAGTTAGAAAATCTGTCATTCACTACGCCTTGATAAAAACGTTGATAGAGAACGATAGAAAAATCCTATCGTTTTGAATATGAAATGTGATTCGTAAATTCATTAATTTGAATCAGATTTTATAGGAATCTTGTATAAATCTTACAAAATCCGATAAAACACTATAGGATTCATATCCGATCAATCGTGATGCTCGCGAGGTCAACGATAGAAAATGATATAAACTTATAGAAAACGCGATACAAATTGATAGAAATCCTATCGTTCTCAATCATTCTCTATCAACTTTTTTTATCAGTAATAATAGTTAAATTACATGTATAAGAAATTTTTCATGCATGAATATGTATGAATATGTATAAACATACATAATATGATAAATTATATAAGTTTCAATTCTCCACTCCGCGACATCCCTTGATAAATTATATACATTTATGAACATTTATACATAAACATGTATAAATATTCATAACATATATAATTATATATGAAACATATCCATATATGTTCATACATCCTTCTTTCTTTTGTAAAATTACTTTTAAGTGTAATAGAAGTAATAACAATAATTTGAAAATATTAAGAATAATTAAAAGGATAATTTTGTGAACAAGTGTATGGGCACATTCTAAATGCATAAAGAATAACTTATCGTATTAGGTTTGTTATAATTGCAATTCGGATAACGATTCGGATTAGATAAATTGTCATTTAGTACAAAGTTATACATTTTTTATTTTATGATGAATATGTTTGTGTTTAAAATACATTTTTATAAAAGTTTTGTTATTATGTAGCCAAAGATGTACTTTAAAATATACATTAATTTTCATTTTAATAATGTTAGTCAAATTACCCCATACCATTAGTCATCTTACCACGGTTCCGGGGCTAGTTGAATCAGATGGAATGCATTAGAAAAATGCATTTTTTTCATATTAGTCATCAGTTTCTCCTTATTATTAAAATATTATTAGATAATCAAATGTATGTAGTAACTGACGTAGAATTCATTTTTTTCGATAAATCTCTTAATTTCGTCTGTAAAAATTTGAAACTGAAAAATGAGTCTACTATCCCCGGTCTCCCCTACATTCGTAAGAATAATATTATTTTGATACAAATTAACAGGAATAGAGAAGAACCAACGATAATATACGCGATATTTCTTTCTCGAGCTCATCTGTCTTTCGGGATTATCGATGACGTTTAAACTTCCAGTAACACGTGCATTAGATCGTATAACGCATCGATCACGCTCGCCGCTTCATTGGTTCGCTATTAACCCCTTGATATTTAACCTCGTAATTACTATAACGTCGCCCTCACGGTGGTGAGGTTCCCAGCGATCCCATGTGTAAACGCGCGGTGTGTATTCAATGTACGTCAAAAACAAGACTAAACACAGAAGGAAAAGTATGATTTTTTTTCGCGTACATCATATTATTTTTTTATTACGTAATCTTTAAATTATTTAACTTTTAAAATATAGACGATAAATCTAATAAATTATTATTCATTGATTGATTTGTGTGTGTTCTAACAATATTTCTAAAATTTGAGATAGTTTTAAATTAAATAACAATAATAGAATCGTTATTTTAATGATAAATATAGGGTATCTTCATAGTCTATGTTGTCTATAATAATAATGTAATAAATATAGTATAATAAAATATATTCTGTATTTATAACATCAGTCAGTTTTAACAGTATAATTACTATATATATTCTCTGGACCATGCAAAAATGTACTACTTTCTGCAGAATATTATGCATAATATTTTATTATACATTTAGAATATGCGTAGAACTGAGACACTCGAGTACTTACTCTTACTAATAAGTACCAATTCGACTCTCGCGAATTTCTCAGTTCTAACTTTGTTTTCTTTCAGTTTCAGTTGATTTATTATTGAACATATTGTGCACTCCTAATAGCAAAGTTCACGTCGTTCGGCAAAACGGGTGATGTGTGAAAAGATCGGAGATGGCGGATACACGTTATGACACCAGTCCGACCCGGCGGACTCGCTCGGAACCCCTCCAGTGGGGGTTATCTCGCGCTGTGATTTCTTGATTAGCAGCGGGTCGACTGGTTGCGGTTAACCGTTGTTAGGTTGTCACTCGATTGGTATGCATGGGCTGGGATTCGTGCTCATCGTACCAACCCCCGAGTCCACCTAATCTTCTCCTACCCCATCGGCGTGGCGGAGCTGCGAAACCAATCGAGGAAAAGCGAGAAACACCTAAATTTACGATATTAACTTTCGAGAACTCAAGTTTCTGTCAATGGAAATTCAAGTTACTTTCGCTAAGTAATTATTAATTATGCAATTCTTTAAATTAATTTGTAATTAATTATATGTAGATTCGAAAATGTGTCAATGTGAAGACTGTAGCTGCTGTGATTCTTATTGGACTTTTGAGAAATTGGTCATCTCAACACAGGACTACTATTATAAAGCGTCGAATTCTTCGAGACAAGTGGCGGCCATTTTTCAGTGGTTGACTCCACTCTGACAACGTGCCACTCGTCGACCCCTCTGTCGTAACTCGTGTAACACGATGGGCGCACGGAGGTGAGGAGGTTTACATAATGACCACCCTAAATCACCCTTTGCCATGGAGCAGCGCGAGACGTCGAATGGAGGGACGGAGAGAGGAGATATATCGAGAGCGGTAGTCTGCACGAATATACATATCCGCCCCTCCTCGAAAACGGGAGGCAGGGTAAGAGAGATTGGGGGGTTACAATTTCCCATGGATAATGGCACTTTGATTACCCCGTGACGCCGTGCGTCCTGTCAAGTGGCACGCCGAGCCATAAATGGCTGACGTGGTATTAAAAAAAGGAGCAATAGTCTCACTATGCGTTACAGGGTGGTCTACTCGAAATTCATTCTGGGGATACTAGCGGAGATAAAATATAAAAAGTTTTATAAGTTTTGTATTGCAGCGACTTGTTATATACGTCGTGTCATATACGTGAAAGAAATAATATTTATTTAGTGTGTAGATAATATCAAATTATTAATGAGTGAACAGAACATCATTTTCTTTCCGCAATGCTTGCTCTAATTTTTACATTGAAATTAATACAGTTAATCGAAATAGAACATATTATAAAAATTTTTTCTTTTTAATAAATAAATATCAGACTTGCAGAATAGTTATATTTTTAAAGAAATATGAGGTTAATATATTATAACAAGAAATGAGGTTAATATATTGTAACAAATCTATCTCGATGATATATTCGAATTTTATAGTATCTTTATAAATTTTTGTTTATATTAATTTAATTAAATTTTATTTATAAACTCTAGATTTTGTTTCTTGCTATCACCCGGTATACAGAACGAAAATACGCGCTCTCTTAAGTCGTCACGTACTTAATTGTTAAATATACTATCGAGTGGTTTTTTATTCGTAGATTTCGAGCGCGTGTACTCGACTTTCTTGATGATACTCAAACATCGCAACTGGTAGCGACCGATTTGTCGACTTCAATGTTTCGCCAGGTCGAGGGTCCGCCACGGGACTATAAAGGATCCGAAGTGGAAACAACAATGCTGCAACTCCCGTCCCATAAATTCGGTATGTCTGAAATGCGTTTGACTGAACGTTAGTAGTGTTGCGTCGTTTATTTACTAAACTCTACAATGTAACGAGCGAATTAATTTATCAATATTTTATTCATTAAAATAATAAAATTAATGCAGAAGTTATACATAGACATAAAATATTAAAATACGATTTCGATTTTTTTTTTTTTTTTTCAGAAAAATCTGAAAATTATATGTCTGATAACAATTATAATTGATGTGTTTTTATTACATATAGATAAATACAAAAAAGATACAAAATTAGTCTAATCGAACAAATTAAAACTTCAAACAATACATACATTTATACTTTTCTTAATATTTTCATATATCATAGGAAACTAGCTACATTTCCTAAAAAAAAACTAGTGAAACATAAAAAGAAAAGTAACTGTAGTTTGTAATATGGAATGCAATTTAGGACGGAAGTAATTCTGCATTTCGAAGAAAGAAAAAAAGACGATGCCATCAGCAAGGAATAGCAAAGCTATTTTCGCATAACAACACATTAGCTGCTAACGTAATGTAATATTTATGGAAAATATTCGCAAACTATCGCCGCAAGGCTATCGCTGTGACCCAGTGACGACGAAAAGTCCGAGGAACTTTGTATGTCCGTGAAGTGTATTCTTCCGCGTTTCACCACAGAGTCCATCGCTTCTATTTAGTTTTAGCTACTATTTAGTTTTAACAACTTCCCGATTGTCATCCTGTAATAGAACAGCTTGTTAAATCTAATAATTTAAAAATATATTCATGCGCAAAAAAACATTACAAAGAACGTTGTGACGCAACAGTTCTTTCATACTTTTACTCGCAGCAGCTATAATAAGTTTACCCGTTCGTGCACAAATTTTTTGACGTTCTAGCCATCACAATAAACGCACCACTGTAGCGAACAGCGGCACGTGTTGTCACGTGTCGTTGATTACGGTCAAACCTCGATTTACTCCGACAAGTCCACGTGTCCAAGTGAGCAACACTTTGAATAATATTCACGTTGTATTACGCTGGTTCGAAATCGAATCCCCACGAGTCACGCGGTGTCTCTATATTCTGTAATGCATAAATCAAGAACCGGAGGAAATGGTAGGCATCCCTCCCCCGGTCGTGTATTACTATAACACCTCACTCACTCAGTTTCTATCGAATATTGGATACGTGTTGAATCGACCGTCGCGCGGTAATGACGGCATTGAGGCCAACAGCATAGCGATATCGAAAGATACCGTTAACAAATTGCGATGTATGAGAAGAGTACAGAAGAGATTAGAGAACAACGACGTAACTAAAAAGACAAAGTCTTTCAGAAAATGAGTGTGGATTATTAAAATTTTGAAATATTAATTTTGATGCAATAATTAACTTATATAGAGGAACAAAGTATGTTTTGTTTTCTTTATGTTTCTATTCTTTTTCTGTAAGCAACTCCAAAATGACAATTTCTTGTTTTGTAACAAATAAGTGATATACGTAAGTAGTTTTTTATGTATTTTTGATATTTTCACAAAACTTTTATATCAATTTGGTTACACTTTTTTCTGCTATTTAACTACCTACAATTTTTTTATCTTTTATGATGTTTCAGTAGAATGGAGGAATATGACGGCGACGTTTTCGCGATTCTCATAGCTCGTGCTTGCGAAGGGAGCCTTCACGGCGCCAGACGGCGAAATAACGTCGGTGGCTCGAAAGGGAGATGTTTCGAGAACCTAGGATGAGTTCGGTCGTTCCATTCATGCTACCCGTTCATCTACCCGTGCTAACTATTCTACAACTACCCATGTGCGTATATATCCGACGAAGTCTCACCTTGAGGTCAGACTTTTTGCCGTTTACACTTTTACGGGTGTCATACGACGAATATTGTTGAGCTCTCAATGCGGCTTCGTGGTGGAAAAGGCGCTTTTTATTCGCGAGAAACAGTAATCAGAGGATAGAGAAATGGCGATCACTATTGCGGTTGACGACCGTGGAGTCTAGGTTCCGAGGATGCAGTAATTCGACAATGATGCTGCTTTCTTGAATATGTTACATATATAGCGCGTTATTATAACTCTTCTATTGGTTGTGGCAATTAAAAATACAATTATGTTCAAATCAACGCAGAGTTATTCTTATGAGGTTGAATATACTTTAGGTTTTATATTCAAGAAAATAAAAAATATTGAAATCATGCAGTTTTGGACTTCAAATTTTCTCTTAGTATCTTGATTTTTTATATAAAGTTTAAGTCATTAGTTTTGTTTTTAAAATAATAATTATAAGTAAATATATTTTCTTATAATTTTTGTTTATTTTTTTCTAACGTTCTGAATGGAGAATTACTGTATCGAAGATCAACGCGACGCAACGATCAATATCAAAGAGGGTGAGTGCAAGTAAACCGATCATAGAAAGGAATTCGCGCTGATGGAGAAAAGAGACAGATAGGGACAGAGGAGCACTAGTTCAAGTAGCGAACTACTATTCGAACGTTGGATTAACTGCTGGATGGTTTACGATGTAGTTTGTTTTTTCTCTCTCTCTCTCTCTCTCACACACACACACACGCGCACGCACGCACGCATGCACACACACTCTGTCTTCTTTCTTTTTCTCTTATCCAACCACATGATGTCGAAAAAACGACCATTACGCGGCTATCGACGTCGTATATCCGCATGTCATCGACACCGACGATGTCATCGTCGCCGAAGGGGCGTGAAACCGCACCCGCGCGAATGCGGGGTGTTAATTTTAAAAACACACTAAAACCGCTGTTAAATCGTCGCAGACAAAAAACGAAAAATCGCCAGTGCGCCGGCCACCGTAAAAACTCCCCCTTGACCTTTTTCGGGAGAGAAACTCGAGGATGCGAGGATGATGTCTTTGCGTTGAGAATAGGGATAAGTAAATTTTCGGGTTACGAAGTGAATCGTCACGCAACCGATTGATTTTTAATGATGTTGAGCTGCCCGCTGAACATGCCATGAAAAACGACGATTTGTTTCTTCAAAATATTTTTATATTCTTTGTGTACTCGTACAATTATATTTTTATACTTTTCGATTTAAAATAAGTGTACTAAAAATATAATAAAATACACTTATTTTCAAGTTGAAATTAAATAAAAAAAATAAGAAACAAGATTTTATTAACAGTTTAAAGCTTTAGTTAGCTAACATTTTACCTAAAAGGCCACTTTTCATTTCGCTTTTTAATAATGTAAAAATCACTTGTGAAGTTTTAAATATTTAGTAAATTTATATTTACACGGAGCAGATGCTTAAATTTAAAATTGATTACAATTTCGAAAGCGAATATAGAATTGATTGCATTTTTATCGTATGTTTAAGCAATTTTGTTGACATTCTTGACATCTTGACAATTGTCTATGAATTTTTCAAAGTGAAAAATGAGCTACCGATGCAAAAAGCCGTTATATTTCTTTTGACATATTATCGAGCATTCCATGCGTACGTTGCATAAACGTGGTTATGCTCATGACTAATCGTTCGTCTTTACCGTTAATTCCGTGGTTCGTGCGAAAAAGAAAGAAAGAATGGCAGCTCGAATAAATAGTTTTCCTTGGTATTCGCGATATTTTGCATAAACTGCGTTATCTATGTCAGTCCGATGACGTTGCCGTTGGCATATAAGGCCAAACGAAATCAATCATTTTATCGGACAGTAAGATACCGCTGCTATATGCTGTTTTGCGACAATTCATCAAGGTGTTGTTGCAAAAACTTTCTAAGGAAACGAAGGTCTTACCGAGACATCAAAACCGTAAGGTATTTCGACTTTCCAAACCTATTGCAATAACAGCGCGAGACCGTTGTCGGAATTTTCAATCAAATTTTATGCGATTATGTGACTTGCAAACACTAAAAATTAGAAATAAGAAAGTTTTAATAATTCAAACTGTATATATAATTAAGATTAATCTAAGTATATGTAGGTACATATACATATGGAGGAAAAGGTAATGTGAACTTTCATATGATTTTTTAAATATTTTTTTATTTCTTATTCAAGTCAATAATACCGCAAATGATAATTTATTAATCTAAATTTGATATAAAAATAAATATTTAAAATGATTAAGACAAAATGGAAAAACTAGTTTAAATGAAAAAAATGATAAAAAAAAACATTGTAATGAGATTATCTCTGAATATGATGGTAAAATGGGCTTCCATATTTTTTACTAAATCTGATTTCTTCAGATCTATTTGAACTTTCCCCATGAAGTTCAAATAATTTTATTTCATAGAAAATTCTGAATGTATTGAAGTTTTATCAGATTCAGAAG